GGGACCACTGTGGCCGGCGACAGGGTGCTGCTGAGGCCTCCGATGAACCCTTTCCCTAGGAACCCCACTGAGAGGGGCCAGCCACCCCTGCCAACCCCTTCCTTGGGGGCTCCTGGTGAGCCATGACCCTGTTGGGTTGGCACATGCTATTTCCCCTCTCCACACACAGCTCAGCCCTACCTGGGGGCGGCAGGTACCCGTTGAACAGGACGCTCCCGCAGGACGACCGATCCAACTCCTCCCGCAGCTGCAGGCGTCGAACTGGTGGCAGAGTAGAGAGAGAGCCGTGAGCCCCTGCCCCTTGGCCCCTCTCCCTGCACAGAGCTCCCCACCACAGGGAGCTGCCCCCCGGCCCAGACACTCTCCACATGTCAGCAGAGAACCCCACCAAGAGCTATCACCTAGCGGGGTGATGCCATAAAACTCTGCCTCGTGCAGCAGCAGCGAGATGCTGACGCCCCGGGGGTCGAGCTCCTTGGTCCGCAGGAAGTTGAGAATCGGGGCAAAGACAGTGGGGTCCCGGTCGATGAAGATCTGGGAGGAAGAGAGCAGGTCACCAAGGGAAAACTCCTGCTGTAACCTGGCAGGCCCCCCTGGGGCATGCTGATCCCCAGGAGCTAGGCACCACTGGGCTCTCCCTGGCACCAGGACCCCCACCCAGGGCAGGGCTTGCTACATCTCGCTGCGGATTTGACCTGACCCCAACTGCCAGGGATCTGGCAACGGCAGGCGAACGGAGAACTCACCGCTCCTGTCTCATCCTTCAGGGTGGAGATGCGCCCGCTCAGGAGGCTGTGGGTTGAACAGAGGGGACAGAAAGTTTGTGTGCAGAGCTCAGCCGCTCCTCCGGGCTCCAGCTGTGCTGCGGGCCCTGCAGTGCCCGGTGCTGCGCGAAGGCAGGGCACTGCACGGCCCCGCACAAGGACAGTCCCTGCTGCAACAACTGCTCTCATCAGACCCAGAGGGAGGGTTCTTCACCTCTTTGCGGCTGGGGGACATGGGCTTCCCTCAACCAGCACGTAATTCCCATCCCCAAGCCGAGAAAATGGCAGCGTGTGCAGGCGCTGGCAGGCTTAGTGGACCTCTCAGAGCCTCTAACAGCACCTGCAGGGGACTGGAGACATGCCAGAAAACATCTCCTGTCCTTGTGTCTGTGAGCCCTGGCCCTAGCACAGGTAGGAGGCTACTCTCAGCTCATCCCGGGGTGGCTTTACCCAAGCAAAACCCTAAGGCAACGCATCAGACCAGCCACAAGTGCTCTGGAAAGCTCAGTCCCTGGAGAAAGAGACAGCAGGACCTGACTTATTACAGCCGTTTACAGCTGCGCCCAGCAGCAGGGGAGCAGGAGCACCCCAGGAGAGGAAGAGGCTAGGAGAGCAGCAGTCACGAGCACTTGCTCCAAGCGGGTAACTTTCTTCCACCACTTGAGCCAGAAAACTTTGTCTCTGGGCAGCCAGGAACCAACTGAACCCGTTGACTGGGATCAGCACCCACCTGAGAGCTGCAGGTCTGCTCCAGGGAGCAACTGGCTAGCATGCGCTGGGACTGAACACACACACCCGTGTCTGGACCGTGCTGCGTGGGTGACACGTGATGGGAAAAGCCAAAACTCCTCTGTGCCCTTCTCCTAACGCTGACCCACGGGCACCTCCATTCCCTTGCCTCCAGGGCCAAAGGGGGAATGTTAGTTAATGAGATGGGGCTAACTACCACCAAAAAAAGTGTCCAGGGAGTTTCCAGCCTCCCTAACACACTCTGCAGAGCAGATTTCCAAGCTGCTGGTCCAGGCCCTGCCGCATAGCTGAGCTGCGCGGCTCTGTGAGCCCCAGCACCACCCTGATGCTAATGATCCGGTGTCCTCGGGGGAGTTTGAGCTGACAGAGGGACAGGGGGGTCCATCCGCATCACCTGGAGAAGAACGAGTCTGAGATCCAGGTCAGCGTCTGCCGAGATGTGCTGAACCTGTGGGCAAGGGTGCAGGTCAGAGTGACCAGAAAGACCCCGGGGGGGCACTGAAAAGAATAGAGAGGTCTGGGGGGTTTGGGGAGACCCAGGGAAGCCTGACGGGGTCCTGGGCAGTGGGGGAGACCCAGAGAGTCTGGGTTAAGCCAAGGGTGGCCCAGGGGGAACTGGGGAGGCCCAGGGAGACCAAGGGCACCTGGGGAGGTGCGGGAGGGACTTGGGGGGGGGGCAGGGAGACCCAGCGGGGTCCTGAGGGGTCAGGGGAGACCTGAGGGGTGTCCCAGGGAACCCAAGGAACTTGGGCTGCACCAGGGAAGGCCCTGGGTGGGTCTGGAGAGACCTGGGAAGGCCTTGGGGGGCTTGGTGCTGTTTGGGGAGACCAAGGGAGCAGGGGAGACCCTGGAGTGGTCGGGGAAGGGGGCTGGAAGACTGAGGGGGG